AAAAAAAGTTCTGAGCAGATAGATGTATTCAGAAAAAAAACTGTTTTGAAGTGATGTTGCAATGATGAGAAAATAGTGGGAGAACCCATCTTGAAGTGTATGTCCCCATATTCACCTACTATAAATTGTGGGGAGCCACAATGAATAACCACACCTTCCAGTCATGATGCCTCAGATTATGACCAATTACTGCATTCACTGTGGCTTGGGCGGGGTCTAGCTCAAAGCAAGTGTTCTTTTTTGTAGGATGTTCCCCTAGGGTTGAGTTTCAATCACCTTTCCCTTGTATTCCTGTTTCTTCTGAAGGTTTTTGGATAGATCTTTCTAAACAAGAGTCCCCCCAATGAAAGCTTACCTCTGAACCTGTCCCTCTCTCTTCTCAGCCTCTCCTGACTTTGTCTAGCTGTACCCTTGGAGAGAGCCTGAGACTGAGGGCTGGGGAAGCCATCATGAAGATTGTGTAAAAGTAAATTGTGTCTATGTTTTATTTGGTGCTCCTGCAAATTCACATCAGTGATCGTAAGTTCAGCTGCCCACACTGATGAGGGCTGCAGGTGGTGCCCAGAACCAGGAACCCCTCAGAGTGAATTTCCAGGTAGACTGAGTGAATGTACCTTAGAAATTCATTGAACTGTGTTTTGGGGTTGTAGAAGAAGAAAGCATTCTGAGAGTCAGAGATGTTAAAGAAATAATGGACAGTTCCATGTCTTCAGAAAAAGAAATTTACTTAATGATTCTGGAGATTCTAATCAACTGAAGAGGAATACAAGTCAGGAGGGCCCAGCTGGATCAATTCCTGAAACAGTTAATGACTAATACCTTTAGCTTAGTGATGAAGAGTCACCAGATTTGTGTACTTGGGAAAGGATAGGTAGAAAAGGTGTAAAGGCTTCCTCTCTGCCAAGCTATCTGAAAGTACAATAGAAAATATTCAAAAGGTCTGAACTGCTTTAGGAATGTTTCATTTTGAATATTGAGAGGAGGAGAAGTGGTCTTCAGAAGACTTGTTAAAGGGGCTCCAGAAGGCAATTAGAAGTTTGGAATCAGAGAA